GGTGGGGGGGGGGAGCCAGCACAGGGCAGGCAGACCTGGGGCCAAGGATGGGCGCCATGGGTGCTTCCTCCAGCCTGCCTCCCAAGCCTGGAGCATGGAAGGAACAAGGTGACCTGGAAGAAGAATGTGGACCCTTACCAGCAGTTGGAGGCTAGGGCCGGCCCAGCAGACTGGCTCGGGCAATGACTTGTGTAGTTGTAGTAGCTGACTTCAAGGTGGTTCCTACTCCCAGTTAACCAGTCTGCCACCAAAGGAACCCTGGCCCCACCCTCACAGGGTGTGTGTGGCCATCTTGCTGCCAGTCTGTCCCGTCCCAGGTCTGCCTCTATCACTGTCCCTTCCCAGGGGGCAGGCTCTCCTGCTAACCTGTCTAGAGAACGGGAGACAAAGCCTTGCCGTCCTCGCCTCTCAGGAACTTTCTGAGAGAGTTGTTTGTTCCTCTGGCCATCCAAGTGATTTCAGTGTTCTTTTCCAACACCCTCATTCAAAGGCGACAACGCTTGCATCTCCCTTATTCATCGGCCAGCTGGCACCTATGGGGGGTGGTTCCAGACCCCCTGGCCGGAGTCTGACGGGCTGGTCCTCTGAGTGACGTGTTTGCTCGTCCACACTTTAAAGAGGTTGACGAGCCCAGTATAATAATATGTTGTTTGCCTTCTTGGGTGCTGCTTCGATGCCTGTTTGTGGACCCGAGTCAAAGTAACTCCCCCACCTCCACTTCTGGGTACCCGGGTTTGTCTTCCCTGTCTTGCCCGGGGTATGAGGATGCCACAGAAGGCATGTCCTTTTACTGGGAAAGTACGTGTGGATCCGGAGGAGGCCTTTGGGGCGTTCTGCATCTTAGAGAAGCAATCCGATTCTTCTGTGACTGCATGCTTCTGTCATACTTAAGGAAATCAGGACCTCCACCCCTCAACCCTCAACCCTCCACCCCATACCCCTCATGCTTGCTCCATCCTCACATCTCAGTCCTCGCAGAGCATCTAACCTTTTCTGCTGCCTTTGTAGGGAGTGAGCGCCCCATATCCAGAGGCATTCACACACACACGGGACCGGTGGCATTCAGAGAAGGGGCAGAGTTGTGTGGGAGAGGCTGTGGGTATGGGCTCAGGCGGGTTCAAGTCCTGACCGCTGTCTGGAAGGAGGTGACCTTGGGCCAGGCACGTAGCGGTGGTGTGCCCCTCTACATTGACAAAGACGGGAGCACCCACCTCAGGCACAGAAGCAGCTGGGAACCCTAGCCAGCAGGGTCTCCCCTTCAAGCCCAGAGACTGTGGCCCCCTTAGGATCAGGGTCGACTGCCCAGTAAGTTGGGGAGGGGGTTCTGACTAAGTCCAGAGCTAAGAGGAGCAGGTGGACCCTCAGACTCATAATGAGCCCCCTCTGCCCCACCCCAGGTTCTCCCAGATGGTGCAGGACAAGCCCCTGCGCACGTCCTGGCAGCGGAAGATGAAGGAGCGGCAGGAGAGGAAGCTGACCAAGGACTTTGCCCGGCACCTGGAGGAGGAGAAGGAGAAGCGGCGGCAGGTCAGGGGCCGCTTCCAGGGAGTCAGCTGTGAAGGCCTGGGGGCAAGGGGGGCCCAGAGATGTGGCAAGAGACAGTCTCAAGAGGAGGGCCCACAGGATGCCAGGCAGTGGTGCAGTCAGAGCCTGGGGGTGGGAAGCTCAGGGAGCAGGGACCTGGAGGAGGTCTAGGGGCGGGGCTGGGCGAGACCCCCAGGGGCTTCCATCCTTCTGCCTCGGCAGCAGAGCAGAGTGCCCAGCGAAATTCCTCCCCCCGCCCCTACCAAACCCCCCAGGCATCCACAGCCTGGCTCCCCTGAGCCAGGGCCACCTTCGGAGCAAGAGGCCGCGGTGATGGTGGACAGTGTCTCAGCCCCAACCCCTGAAATAGTAGGCAGCCAGGATCTCAGCTAGTGATGGGAGGTGACCCGCAGTCAGACGCCTCCTCCTCAATCTCACCACTGTCACTTGGTTCCTTGCCACAAGTCACCAAGTCTCCTGCTTGATCTGTGGCCAGGGCCCCCTGGGCAGGAGCGTCCTTGTTTTAAGGCTTTATCTCACTTCCTATGTGGCCTTGCTCACTCTTGAGCAAGATAGAGCTTTCTCACCATCCCTCGCAGAGGGCCCTGCCCACCCAGCTCTCACTTCTCCTTCCCCCGAGGGCCAGGCCACCCTCCTGCCCTGCACCACCAAGCCCAAGAGAGGCCCAACCCGGCCCCTACTCCCTCCAGCCAGGGGCCAGCAGCCCACACAGGCAGCCAGCACTGGCCTCCCACTCCATCTTGACCCCTTCTCTAAGAGTGCCCAGTGAGCCAGCAAAGGGCCCCGTGCAAAGACCAGGGTGCTTGGAAAAGTTTGTGGGATAAGAGAGTTAAAATATAAGGGACCTTTCCCGCAGACATTTTGAAACTCCCTCCTAATAACTCATTTATTCCCAGACCAGTCCTACCGAGTCCTGGGACTCGGGGGGAGGGATGTTCAGAGAGAGTCTAGTGTTTGGCTGAGGAAGTAACCGAGGCAGGGTTGGAACTCAGGTCAGCTCTCTCCAGAGCCCCTTCTCCGCAGCCCCAGCCCCTCCCCCCGGGGCCTGCATTCCAAGGAGCAGTCTTCGGGAGAGGAGACTCCCAAGTAGACAACTGGGAGGCAGGATGGAGGGGGGCGGAGAGGTGATGAAGAGAGGTGTGCCAGGGACCCCGGTCTGGGGGCAGTGGGTCCCCACCCCCCATTTCGTAGCTCACCCACTCCTGTCCTCAGCTGCCTGTCCACCTTCTAGGTGGGGCCCACCCCCCAAGTGGGCACTGACAATTCCACCTGGTGAACCAGAGCACTAGCCCTCCCCAGAGGTCTTGGACGCCCCCTCTCTGTCTGGGTACTCCCTATCCTTGCTCTCCTGGGGCTCCTGGCTCAGCCCTCCTGCCTATGTCCTGCTCAGGAGAAGAAGCAGCGCCGTGCCGAGAACCTGAGGCGGCGCCTGGAGAACGAGCGGAAGGCGGAGGTGGTCCAAGTGGTGAGTGTTGTGCCCCCCCCCCCTTGTGCTGCACCCCCAGGCTCTGCAGTGCGGGGCTCTCCCCTTCCCGGCACTAACGGCCCTCTTCTCACTCCCCTGTCCCCCAGATCCGAAACCCGGCCAAGCTCAAGCGGGCAAAGAAGAAGCAACTCCGAACCATTGCGAAGCGGGACACACTGGCCCTGCTGCAGAAGCAACCACCCCAGCGGCCAGGGCCCAGAGCTGACCTCGGGATGGCCTGAGATCCGCCATGGGCAGCCACCCTGAGGCCACCGGCATGGCACCCTGTGATTCCAGAACAGCAGCCGAACCCGCCATGGGGCACCTGTGCCCTTCCAGCCAGCGGGCATGTCTTTGGGGAGGGCAACCCAGAGGGGGTCTGGTAGAGGGAAGGTTCAGACCCGCACCCCTCCCCCGTGACCCCACCACCACCATCCTGGCCCTTCTCCAAGT